ATCCTTTATTATTATTATTATTATTATTATTATTTTATTATTATTATTATTATTATTATTATTGTAATAATAATTATTATTATATCGATATTGATATTATTGAACACTTGGAATATGCATATTTCTATTCAATAGTAAGAGTACCTTTATATACATATATATATATATATTGTATAAATGTATATGTATATATATGTATAGGGATTTATATATCGTGTTATATATATGATTCGTTCGATTATTTATATATAATCGGTATATAAATTTACGTATATTTATATATGTATACGTGTGAAGAAGATGAAGATGAGAAAGAAGAAAAAAAAAAAATAATGGAGATCAATCCTTCTATTTTGCATAGCTCGGTAATTCTCTTTTGGGTCTTTAGAGATGCACACTAAATTACTTCTCGAACGACATCCGTTGTTGCATTGATCGTAATTGTGGAATGACAAAATGAAAAAAAATTAATATGTAATGAAAAGAAGATAAGATTAACGAAAAGAAACAAACGATAAAAAGAAAAAAAAAAAGAAAAAAAATATGGAAAATACGTCTAATTCACGTTTATTGTATATGTATATACACACGCCGCGTGACACAAAAGAATCGGTGTGTATATATGTATATTATACATGCATATGAAAGAAATCTCACGCAAGTGTCTTATTTTTCCAGGATGTTCACCGATTATTAAACGAGATGAAAGATTAAAAAAGAGAGTAAAAAGTGTAAAAAAAAGAAAATGATTAACGTAAAAAAACGACGGAAGAAGTTGGAAGAAATTGCCACGAGGTAGACACGTGCGAACTCGTAGTAGCGCATTCCGTTTCCGGCGGAAGTCGCTACCGTCGCGACCGGAAGTCCGCGCCAGAATATGCGTTCTAGTTTTGTTTTTCTCTCTCCTTTTTAATATGCGAATAGTGTCCCTTAGCGTAGTTGTTTTAATGCGTTATATATGTATTTTTTTTATCCAAATCACTTGTCGTCGATTTTTTTTATTATCCTCTTCTTTTTTTTTTTTTTTTTTTTTTCAGTTTCGATTTTATGGCACGTTCATAGAAACGTGCGCGTAGCGGGGAGATCGTTGATCGAATTTAACGCGATTGTTTGATCGAGTGTCTTTTGTTAGACGTGTAGACGAGGAATTCGTTTTCTTTCTTTTTTCTTCTTTATTTGCAATTTTACGAGCGTTTTAGTGTTTAATGATCTTATTAGCGAGAGGGACGTTAACGTTCTTAAGGATACATTTAGATCGTAAGGATTACGATACGATGGAGAAAATGGGAACGAGGTGGCCGAACGGGATAAAAGTACGTACTATTTAATCGAACACGTATGAAGACGAGGAGGACGAAGACGTATAGCAAGAGGTACACGTAGAAACGAATGAAATGGAAAGAAAAAGGAAACAATGAAGATTTTGAAGGACGAAGATGATATTTTCTCGAGTGAAGTAAAATGCGGTATAATCACTGTGATGACACTGGCCTGCTCATCTCTGTTGCACTTTCTTCCAATTATTCGAGCAGTTACAAAGAGTTGCATAAGATAAAAACAAAACGATATAAAAAAAAAAGAAAAAAAAAAGTATAAAAGATACGAAACCCTGTAAAACACATTCGTGAGGTACTCTGAATATGTACACGTGCATACATAGACATGTATACTCGTTTCGTTAGTCGCGCGTCGCCGTTCACACAGCGGTTACTTTGTGTGTGTGTGTGGCGCGCACGCGCGCCCACGTACGTGTGTATGTATGCCCGCGCGTGTGTGTATGTGTGTGCTTACGCCTGCGTGCGCGACGAGGAATGAATGGTATTTCACGGTGTGCGTGCGGCTCCGCGTGTTTTTTTCTCTTTGTGCGTGCGTGCGCTCGTAGGCACGCTTGTACGCGTGTGTGCGTAGTGAATTACGTCATATAGATAGATCATATGTGCTTTCTAATGATGAATAATTTTATAAATATAAATATAATATCGATCTCTCACGTGTACGTTTATTTTGGAAGTTCGCGCCTGGTCCGCGCGGGTTCGATCATTAAACTGTAATTAGTTTTCATGTGCTTTATTTTCCTTTCGCGTGTGATATCTCTAATTATCCTCTTATTAAAAAAAAAAAAGAAGAAAATCATCCAAAGAAAGAGAGATCCTTTGCTTTCACTTTGAAACTTAACCCGCTTCGCTGTATGATATCGCGTGAGAAAATCGCGGTAAGGAATCGGATCAAACACGGGTATCACGGGCGAGAGCCGTGGTCCGTAGATAGGGCCCAACGCGAACGACACGAGTGTGGTGGCCCATGGTTATTTTAATTTTCCTCGATGTCTTCCTACCTCAGTCACGCATTATTCTTCGTCGCATTCCTGACGAAATAGCTCGACGCGTATCCAACTTTGCTGCTGACTATGGCACGTGCGCCCATTGCAACTTAAATCATAGGGCAAGGGGTTAAGTTTCGAATTAAGTGTACGAGCGAAAGTTTAAGAAAAGAGTTGATCGATGGAGATTAGAGTGGTTGTACCTATGTTGGATTCTTTAAATAATCTGCTTCGTCAAATTTATCTTTTTACATTCAGTTCGCCAATTTAATTATGCAAAGCAACGTGGCATCGGTGAGCTTCATTTTGAAAACTATCTAAAATGCAATTTTAAGGAATCGATTCGCTATTATTATTTCGCCGCTTAATTAGAAATACCAGTTTGGATAAGTAATACATTTTATTACTTAAAATAGCGATACATAATATATAAATATAAAATTAGAGTAGTCTTACCCTTACACGCGACAGTATTCTCCGTTAGAATGATTCTCTCTACTGTATTCTCTATAATATGCATCAAGCATAAGATTGACATAGCGTGATAATTATTAAACTCTGTATATATAACTATGCGACTTTTAAATAGAAATTCTATAATAGTTTCCCGCGTGGCAAGTATCGCGCCGATTACCGATTTTTCTCTCGATCGTTAGACAATTATCGCGACAGATTAAACAAACGGAATATAAAAGAAGAACTCTTAAATTTAAAGCAGAAATGAAAGAATATCGATTACAAAGCAAGTTCAGTTTCGTTCATTTGTTAAGCGAAATCTTTACCTCATGGTTTCTTTCATGCACGCGTTTCCAAGTACTTGACCCCATAGAAAAACACAGATGCGCCATACGAAGCTCGAGAGGAAGAATCTTCTGTACAAATTCTCAAAATCAAAGAAGTAACGCTTATATAGCAATGGATAATTCCTTCTTTCTAATAATTACCGCAGTGCCATTATAACGATCAATCTCCTCGCTTTCTATCAACAGTTCCAAATAAATACAAGACCATTCCTCCATCGCTGTGTTCCTTCTCCCAAAAGAAGCATGAAAAGAACAAAAAAAAAAAGAAAAAAGAAAATGAAAGGAAAACGCGTTCACGTAAGAGGCCATTGAACACGACACCCGACGTCCCGCCACGGTGAGGATCATCAGGCTGTCCGAGCACAGCGTCCGGTAGCTTCTATAAAACAATTTTATTCGGCTGAATGCAAGTACATAGAGAAGTTGATACACAGTAGTAGCGATACAATATGATACACAGGATTGTTAATTTAATTCGACCGATGTCGATCCGCGTCGTGGCAGACGCCGTCGATTGGCAGTTTTGGCAGAGGACCGTCGTCCCCTGTTATCGTATTTTTGGCATTAAAGACGAGTGGCGCCCGTTCGTGTACCTTGGCTACGGTATAGACGCGATAACTTAACTTAAAGGTTCGATTATCTTCTTATATATATACACACAGACTCGCTGCTCTTCCACACGATTGTACCCGCGCCGGTGATCCCTTAAGGTGCTTCCGGTGTCTCCGTTTTTCGCTCAGGTTTACGTACACTGCCTCTTCTCCTATAGTGGTAGGGCACCTGCCTGTTGGGCCCCCTCGTCTTGCCTATGGGCGCTTTCCTGTAGTGCTGATAGTCAGGGTAACGATGCGGTGGTGCATACTGAATGTTGCCAACAGAGTCCCTCTGACCATTTGGCACGAAAGGTCGAACTATCCTCTCATCGGTGAGGCGACGCCGAAGACACACGGCGCATCGGCTCACGCGCGATGTGTGGTCCATCTTCAGAGTCTGTGGTTGCGGTTTGCGGAACATCTCGTAGTCCTTGATGGTGGCCAGCCAGTAGGATGTGGCAGTGGAGAAGTAGTTGCACGTGCCCAAACCGCGACACTCGATGAAGGGCCTGGCGCGGAATTCCTCCAGGCAGGAACCTGGAGAGACTAGCGATTGACCGCCACCGCCAGCACCTGCGTCTCGATGCTGCAAAATTTCGTTGGAGTTAGTTAATCCTTTGCACAAGTGTCTCTTGGCCAAATGTTCGAGCAGGTAGTGTGGAAGCTTGGAGAGAGGAAGATCGAGGTGTAACGTGTTAACGGATAAACGGGA